CCTACCCAGCACACCTGTTTCAGTACCCTGTTTTCCTGAAAAGAAGACAGTGTCTTATATTAATTTTTGCTCCCAAAGATGCGCTAGGTCTTATTTTCAGGGGATGTCTTATTTTTCCATGAAGAAGAATACAGTACACATTTATTTATTGTTTTATTAAAAGAGAGCTCGCACTTCCTATCTGCTCCGGCTGCGCTGTGGCCAACAGTGAGCTGCGCAGCGGTGCTTGCCACTATGGTCCAGAGTCCAGCGTTTCAGTAGCTTGGGGGGTGCTTATTTTCGGGGAGGTCTTATTTTCAGGGGGATGCCTTATATTTCAGCGAGAGGCAAAACTGTAAGTAGGTCTTATTTTCGGGGGATGTCTTACTTTTGGGGAAACGGTAGTTCTCTCTCTTGGTTAATTCTTACTTTGTATGTTTGTGCAAACCTCCCCTGCTCTCCTTTCTCCCTCCCCCCCCCTTTTAAAATCAATTAGGTTAGCTAATAATGTATCTGTTTTTGTTAACTTTTTCAAAGAATTAGAATTGTAATTTATTTATTAGTTTTGCATTTTTTCATTTTAGCTCTCTTTCTGGCTTATCTGTACGTTTCTTTCCTATGTTTCCTGTTAGTTTATTTTGTTGTTCTTTTCCTAGTTTTCTGATTCTTTTGTTTTTATTGATGTGATGAAATGCTGTAAAACTGATGGGAACATGTCAAAAGGACATATGAGCTGACTTCTAAAGGCCAAATAGGGAGCCATTTGAGCATCAAAAATAAAAATAGTGCATTTTAACACAGCAAATAATTAAAACAAAAAACACGTGTCCAGAATGATTTAAAAATTGAGTATGGGATGGAGAAAGGGAAAGACTTCTTCGCAGAAGAAAGCCAACCAGGAAGTACATGGTTGAAAGAAATGCTCAGAGTTTGCGTATTAATTACAATGATAAAAATATGATGGATACTTCAACCAATTAATCCAACTTAAACCACCAATAATGGCACACCTTGATATTATTTGCTCTTTGATATTTTGTACTAACAAGAACACAACTATCACATAGAGTTCTTGTCAAAAGTATTTAACCTGGATCTGATCTTTAGGAAAAGATGACATAGATGCACATTGAAGGATATTCTTCAAATACGTGATCTGGACTCAAAAATGCTGTTAGGGGGAGAAGTGGCAGTGGAACTTTTCTAGATTAAAGGAGACTAAAGACATGTTTATTAGATACTATATTACTGTTACTCCCAATTTCTGGAGTATATTCATTGTATTATGGTTCTAGAAATGTTTTTTATGGATAGAATTAAT